TATATATATAGAATATATTTAATAAAATTTTTTTGAATATATAAAATGTAATTTATTCATGTGATGCAACGTTGAATTTTCAGCATCATTACTTAAGTCTTCAGAGCAGCATTTCTTTGAAAAATAAATCTTTTGTAAAATTATAAATGTTTCTATTGTCACTTTTAATCAATTTAATGCATCCTTATTGCTAAATAAAAAAAATATTAAAGTGAAATCAAATAAGAACTAAATCTTTTTTATCACTGAAAACAGATCCAAATTCAGTGTTCTTCAGAAACCGGTTAGATTGTGAATCAGATCTTGCTTTGCTATTAATGACTAAAATGATCAAGAAATGCTATCCTGTGTCTTTTGCAATAACAAACAGTGGAGGGAAGCTGGTCATAGATGAGCAGCTTTTTGTCAGTTTCCACCTGGTGCAACAGCCCCACCTGTGTTGTGGAGGTCAAAGGTGGAAAGTTGTATTTTTGGGGGAACATTGCATGGACTAAATAACTACTTGGGCTGATGAACAGATTGGGCCCCCCTCTGGGGGATTGTGGGGAATTTCTGCAATTACTGCTAATTAATCTCCTATTAACATTTGCCTCGTTAAGACTCAGGCAATTTATTTGGCACAAGTGGGACTCGTTGGATGCGTGATATCAAGTGTTTTTAACTGCGCTTTTGAAAGACAGAACTAAATCTATCTAAAAGTGATTATTTCTGTATTTGTGACAAATAAAATATCACAAGCTGCTTGTGGGGGACTTTAATGATGGTTTTGAGTTAATTTATTTCTATATATTAGTTCAAGAGGATAAATATCTGTGCTAAAGAAAACTGTAATTTACAGATTGCAGATTGATGCCTTCTTGAGACGTGGGTTTGTTCCTTACAAATGGCAGACAGGTTAGTTTCCAATTCAACTTGTTCTTAAAAGGTATATTTTCCCCAAAAATTACAACCCCAATTCCAAAAAAGTTGGGACATTTTGTAAAATGCAATTAAAATTTATCTGAGATTTGTTAATTCTCTTCAGCATTTATTTCATTGATAAAAGTACAAATAAAAGATTTCCAATGTTTTCACTGACCAACTTAATTGTATTGTGTAAATATAAACAAATTTTGATTGATGGCTGCAACACACTTTAAAAAAGTTGGAACAGAGGCATGCTTAACAGACGTTTGCTTTTGCATCTGTCGCTGGTGAAAGTCTGGATGGTCGCTTTGGTCTTGGGTACTGAGAAACAAATGTCCATTTTTTCCCCCCAGAAACAAGATTAAATGTGGACTCATCTGACCACAGCACACATTTCCACTGTCTTTTTGACTATCTGAGATGAGCTTTGGTCCAGAGAACCCCACAGCATCACTGCATAGAATTGATGTAGCTTTCTCCTAGAGTAACAAAGATTCAAGTTGCATTTATTGATGCAGCGGCAGACTGTGTTAAGTGACAGCAGTTTTCCAAAGTACTCCTGAGCCTATGTGGTTACATCTCACACTGCAGCATGACTGTTTCTCATGCAATGCCATCTGAGGGCTCAAAGGTCACACATTCAGCTAAGGTTTCCTGCCTTGAGATTTCTCTGGATTCCCTGAATCTTTTCACGTGTGGTAGTTGGTGAAAGACCTAAATTCTTTGCAAATTTGCATTGAGAAATGTGATTTTTGTGATTTCTGAGATGCTCCTTTTACACCAAAACATGATACCCTCATATTACCAATTCACCTGCTTACTGTGAACTGTTTCAAAAAAGTTTAATTTGGATATTCTAAAACCATTTTTACTTTTATTTTGCCGCTGTTCCAACTTTTTTGGAGTGTGTTGCAGCCATCAACATCAGTCTTTGGAAATCTTTTCTTTGTACTTTTGTCAATTAAATAAAAGTTAAAGAGAATAAAAAAAAATCACATATTATTGATTTTATTGCATTTTACAAAACATCCTATTCTGGAACTGGGGTTGTAGTAGTCAGTAATGTATATCCCTAGTCAGAAAATCTGAATTTTAACAGAATTTAATAATTTAGAACCAGACATGAATATATAATTAAACAAATAGTCAAAATAAGAATGAAACAAAGAACATTAAGGATAAAATGTGGATAAATATATGAAAAATATAAAATTTAGTATATCCACCAAGAATGTGACTATTAGATAAGGATTTTATTCCCAGTAAGATTGGTTCAAAATTATTATGAAACATTAGCATTCATTGACTACATACTAAAAAAATGGTGCTAAATAGCACTAAAAGTAGTTAATTGGCTCGTAATCATATGGGAACCACTTTAAGTGCTATATAGCACCTATTTTTAAAGGAATCATAGAGGAACCCCATTCTCCTCCTTAGATTTTAGAGATGTTACTCCACTCTCATATGTTTGCTATGAATGGGAATTTACTACAATGGCAAAAGCAGTTTTGAATCACTTTTATGCTTTTCTGAGGTCAAAAAGTCTTGTGTGGGGGCCCTGGAATATTTCCTTATAGGGGGGCCTTGCGGGCAAAAATGTTGAGAACCTAAGAGACTAAGAGAGAATTAGAGAACCTTTAAAGAACTATACAGGGGCTTAACAGTTCTTTGTATGGCAGTGGTGCTATATAGCACCTCAACCACCCCAAAGAACCGCTGAAGAACCAATTTTTTTGTGTGTGTAGGGATATAGGGATATAATCCCACTTTGAATGGAAAGCAGCTATAGTAACAGACTCCCTTGTCCTGTCCTGACCTTGGGCAGAGCTCCAGGCCACACCCTGATGGATCCGTAATTGAGAAGTGCCTGTACGATCCTCTCGGGCTCATGGTCCGTCTTGTAGGCCACCACCTTCAGGATGTTATGCATTGGTGCATCACCGCCATAATCCATTTCGTTGACCAAGGCTTTATACTGAAGCAGTAGAGCCACCACGTCAGGGTTGGTGTTCTTACATGCCATGTGCAGTGGAGTCTGCTTGTCCGCGTCACTGATATGAATGTCTGCCCCTGCATCCACCAGCATGTGACAAACACGGCTGTAGCGCTCCAGAGACGTGCAGTCCTGCGGCTGGGAGCACGCGGCGTTCAGCGGTGTGTTTCCATCGTCATTTTGTAGGTTAAGCACAGCTCCGTGTCGTAAGTAGAGCTCCACGTGATCAGGAAGGCCATGGCGGGCCACCACATGAAGGGGTGTGTCGCTATCATCCAAGCTTTGACCGTTGATCAAAGCATCGAATGCAAGTAGATGTTTGGCACACCTGGAAAAACAGAAAAAACTCAAAAAGTCTGGCTATAATGCATTATGCATAAGTGATATTAATTTTGTAGGATATTATTTAGCATTTAAGTCTACATTACAAGTACACTACCAGTCAAAAGTTTGGAATAATTATTGTTTTTAAAATGTTTTAAAAATAAGTCTCTCTTATGCTTATCAAGGCTGCATTTACTTCATTCATAATGCAGTAAAAACAGTAATAGTGTGAAATATTATTACAATTAAAAATAGCTGTTTTCTATATGAATATATATATATATATATATATATA